ATATATCTTTTGAAAATTTTTTTGAAATATTTTTGAAGAGGTGCAGGAAATTCGCAAAGAATTTCAAGCAGAACCGATACTTACTAGGTTCATTTTAGGAAATAGAGCTACGAGCAGAAATTTGCTACTCAATTTGGTCGGAAATACGCATATTTTGAACTTAAATCATCAATATTAAATATCCTGCACTACTTTAGAGCCGTTGTAGTGACGCGGTAAACCATATTGAGTAGGTAATTAAAGGAGTGAAACACAAAAGAAAATGATACTCTTTAAACTTCCTCTCACTCTGAGTGCGCGGGACAACTACGTGTAGATATCAACAAAAAGTGAGTGTAAACTTACACAAATGCGGAGGTTGATGAAATAAATTATCTCGCACGAAATTTACTACTGCACCTGTTCAAGGTGTGACGAATTTTAACATATTTACAGGAAGTAAATTTCTATCATTAATTTGCTCTTTTTCAAACATTACCATATCGTTGCCTGAGGAATCGGGTTCGACATAAAATAATGCCTCGACTCGGTCTACTATTTCTGAAGTTGTAATTAGAGGAAATTGAAACGTGGATGCAAGGAAGAATATTATACTTCAGCAATTCTTACAAAAAATTGAATTTATTCAATACAAGTGCGTTACATAAATCAAACGAGATCTTGGGGAAGTAAAAGAAAATGGGCGTTAAATATTTGAGCATACTAAATTTTGATACCTCGAGAAGAATTTGTCAATATTTGAAATGGAGGTAGCAACTACTTCATTGGAAAATGAATCTGAGCCTGAAAATTATTCACAAGGGCCATCTCCACAGTCACCATCTCCACCCCCAACTACTCCTGAAGCGGGATGCGTGTGAGCTGGTCTTGCGTGAAATGGTCCAGCAGGAGCGAATCTCTTGATGAGGAGGTGTCCAAGGGTCATGTTCAAAAGGGCCAATAAGGCCAATGCAACAATGTAAAACCTCATGGTGCTCGATTTACTTTCAAGTGAAGACTGACGACCGGGAACTGATGATTTCGGCCTGGTCCTCCGGCCTATATATACCTCAATTTATCGCTTTTTAGAGGTTTCTTTGTGTACGTTCTTCTTAGCCTTAATACTTCATGAATGTGTAAGTGCCAGTTTTTTCTTTTCTTTTCGAAATGATAAAGGCTGCAAGGGTAGATATCGTGAGGGAACATGAGCTGGAATTTTTCGCCACGCAGGTGTGCTGCATTTGTAGATACTGGTCGTGAGACTTGTCGCTGAAATTCGCGGACAAAGACTTCGGTGCTGGTTCGGTGAAGCAAATTAAATACTCAAAGAAACAACACTGTCTTGTTGAGAAGAAACGGCGTTTAAACACTCAGTAGTTGTCAAATCTCTGCTGATATAAAAACCGAATTTTTTTATGATGCATGGCATGTTTTTTATTGAATTTTTCCCCTAATGATTTTATTAGAAATTTAATCCTGAGAATCTGAAAATTTCGCACAAAAATTCTCATAATTTTCCTTAAAATTAATTATTTCTTTCATGGATTTTTTTGCGTTATTCAAATCTTACGGCATTTTTTCTTAGCATGGCAGGACACTAGAGTATTGTACGTAGTATGACGAGGGACAGAATAAATCGGCATATTACATACAGCCCTGTTGAGGAAGATTGCATTGAGACATTTTTCAGTTCAAAGCATTATTTTTAACAAATGTTGTGAGATTTTTTTTTAAAAGAGATTGAAACTAAATTGTAAAGGAAATTCGCTGGAAAATTAAAGTAATAAATTAACACATGTTAGGAAATTCATATTAAATCAGAAGAAATTTGGCAAAGTCAGGGTTCATACTAGTTTTTCCGTAATGCAGTATAAGCGTACAATTTGATGTCAATTTTCTTCTGGTTTGGCACGTTCAACACGCTCCATTCGTAAATCAATGAAGAATGCATGCCGATAGTGCAAGTGTAGTCATTTTTTGTCCTAAGACACAGGGACAATGCACGCCATTCTTTTATTTATTGCGTAGACTGAAATGAATTTTTACGTCTGATTCGAGGAGGGGGGGGGGCGGAGGAAATTTTTTTATAGGAAATCATTTCCAGACAGAAAGAGAACAGTTTCAAGTTTGACACCTCAATCAGTTTATTTTTTGCAAATCGTACCAGTTAGTAAAAGCTTGCTTCGTTGAACAGTTTTTTTTTTCCTTCCTAGAAATGAACTAAATTAAGTTCCTTTGCAGTCAATGTTGTATAAAATGTTACAAGTATCTCTGTTCTCCAGATTTGAGGATTTGTCATTAATTTTTTTTTTATTATACATCAAAACTGTCAGGACATAAGGACATGACGAGAAGGGGATTCATAAACTAGAGCATTAGGTAAGAAGTGTCCTTAAAAATAAATGCGAGTGGTTTAATATTTCCTCGTTGTTTCCTCTATATCCTTCTGGTTAATAATATACAGACTTTTGCCTCTAGACCACTAATAATGATGTATAAAATGTTTTTTTGTGGAGGTCCAAAATTATATCCACCCAATAGGCAATGTAATTTACCAAGTTCATCGGGAGATAACTAAAATTCAGACTCTAAAGTTTCGGTCTATAAAAAGTCAACATATTCTCCTATCATTAAATGAAATTAAACAATTCCAGGGTCAAGAGCTAAAACCGAAAATACAAACGCTTGAAGAACTCAAAAAAATTTTAAAAAAATAATTATATAAGAGTTAAATTTGAAGTAATGTTAAAATTTCTAGAAGCCTCTTTGTTGGTATAATCCGTTCTATACTTTAAAATCGTAGGTGACCTAAAACTTTACGATGTTTTGTTACATCAACTAAATTTTCCGGTTTATTTAGTCAGAAAAAGTCAGAACAGGGACTTTTATCCCGTGAATATTTAAGCTAACGAACAGTGGAGAACAAATTACGTGATATGGTGAGCAAAGAAAGCAGCACAAAAAGTTAAAATGAATTGACTGCGCGAATCATAACCCCCTCGACCTCGGGCTATTAAGTTGGCGATTCGACATGCGGGCATTTACCTGATAATCCATAAAACGAACTGATAAATCGAATCAATGGAGTATTTTAATAAGCGTTGGTCAGGTGCATTCATTCGGTTCGTAAATCAAAAAATTGATGTTACGGATCATGCAGCTATATTTTAGCCTGAGACTTTCTCAGGTCAACGTTATTGGCGAATGAAATAAAGAGTATCGGATGATAAGAAATGAGTTTCGACTTTGAATTTAAGTATGTCAATTTTGCTGCATCAGACGTGATTGAGAATGTGGAAAATTTAATATTAGCTGCAAGTACCTCATATTTTCACCAAGTAATTATTTTACACTCGATTTTAATATCTCTGCAACAAAAATATGGGTTGATTAATGATACCAATATGAATCAAGAATATTGGAATTCTGATATTATCTTTTAAAAAAGAGGACCGGGGGGCGCTTTGCAGCTAATTTGATCTGTGCTTACCATAAAAAAAAAACCTGGATTAGGTACATGAAATAGGAAGAGGGCTAATTCGTGTAAAGTTTATCATCAACCATCTGCCACAAAAATCATGAAAATCGACCCGGTACACTGCTAGAACAAATGATGATAGAAAATGATGATCCAGGGAGTTGGGGAGTCCGACATCTATGAATGGGAATACATTATCTTAATTACACTGATGAAATTTCTCAATTCAGAATGTTCGGACAAGAAATCTTGCCAAGGCAACTGGAAATGTTTTTAAAGCGGCAAAACGTCTCTTTGGAATAACAAAAATACCTTTTGAAGCAAAGTTTCCTGATTTGTAAACTTCCTGGAGTGTGAATTTTTTCTATGACTAATTTTAAGCTGCTACAACTCCGGTTATGTTGGACCTTTAGGAGAGATTTTGTTTCAAACAGAGAATACTCACTAAGGCCTGGTGTAAAAACACAATTTTAAGTTTTTGTGGACTAAAATATCCTTTCCTACGGACTGCGGACTTTATGTGGAGAACAAATCAACATCATTCCATCATTTCCATTCAAGTTTTCGCGGACTTGTCTTTGCTCGGAGGAATAAAATCAGGGGATCGACGTAGAGTCACCCTCCTCTACGTCCAGCTGAGGACCATTAGAAATACATAAGGGTAAAAGTATGAAATAAGCACAAAGATATTTGCAGTGTGTAGAAAGCCGTTTATTTTTAATCGGATCAAATTTATTTGATAATGTAATGGTTCTTTCAGTTGGAAATATTTAATAGTAAATCACCGGTGATGAGTACGAGCATGGAGAGCCGTAAGTCACGGGTGTTGAGTAGGAGTAAGAGCAACTGGGCTCAACTGGGGTTGAGCAACAAGACTCAACTGGGGTGGAGCAACATGGTGTTTCGCAGGGTTTTTCACAGGGTACAGGGACTGGTACGGCCACGGGAACTTTAACAGGTTTCTCGATGATTTTCGGTGGTGACTTCACTAGAACAGGGACTGGAACAGGCTTCTCGACGACGCAAGGGGCAGGCTGAGCACATATGATCGGCTCCTTGCATCCGAATTTTTCCTTGTGCAGGAAATGGCCGGCGGCCATGTTAACGCAAGCCAAAGCGGCGACGAAAGCCACGATGCATTTCATCTTGTTTTTTCTTCCGGTATGTTACTTTCTTTGAACGTAATTGAACTGATGATCATAGTTGTGCGCATCCAGTCATTTATACCATCGATTTGATCGAAAATTGTTTTACACCTGAGAAATTTCTAATTTTTCTCCGTAACTTTTTCCTCAAGCTACTGAACTTAAAGAAGCTATTCTGCCAAGAATTGAATAGAACGCAGAACAATGGAATCAAAGTCGGCGCTCTGATACCCGATGATGATCAACATGCCGCTGTTCCATTGGATTATTTTTTCTAAAAGTCTAGGTTCAGTGAATCTAACTGATATTTTTAATCGTTAGTGTCCGTTGAAAAAAAGAAGAAGAAATAATGGCACTGACACACATTATTTTACCAGGTGCAGAATGATGACTTGCGATTTTCACTCCCATATATGGTCCACCTCATAGCAAAGGAAGTATCAATCGCTACCAACTTCTTTCCACTATTAGCTCAAAGAAAGAAGAGTAAAGAACACATAATGAAATTCATCGTAGCTTTCGTCGCCGCTTTGGCTTGCGCTAACATGGCCGCCGGACATTTTCTGCACAAGGAAAAATTCGGATGCAAAGAGCCGATCATATGTGCTCAGCCTGCCCCTTGCGTCGTCGAGAAGCCTGTTCCAGTCCCTGTCCTCGTGAAATCACCACCGAAAATCATCGAGAAACCTGTCAAAGTTCCCGTGGCCGTGCCAGTTCCTGTACCCTGTGAAAAACCCTGCGAAACACCCTGTTGCTCGACCCCAGTTGAGTCTTGTTGCTCAACTCCAGTTGAGCCCAGTTGCTCCTACTCCTACTCAACACCCGTGACTTACGGTTCTCCCTGCGCGTACTCATCACCGGTGATTTACTATTAAATATTTCCAACTGAAAAAACCAGTATACCATTTTAAAAAAATTGAATCTGATTAAAAATAAATGTCTTTCCTCACGCTGCAAATATCTTCATGTTTTTTTTCTGTTTTTACCTTTATGAATTTATAGTGACCCTAAGCATGACATGAGAGGCTTCTTGGTTGGGGCCCAGTTTTCTTTCATATTTTTCTCCATATTCCTTTTTATTCGAGCATCCAATATGTATCCGGCAAAAAACGATGATTTTGATCGCCAATTTTTACTTTTTAATCAAATACTCTGTGCGTTATAATTTTACGGCTCCGTTGACAAGAGTTTTAGTGCCCTCTGTCAACACTCTCAATTACCAAGTGAAAATAAGTGATGCCACTTAAACATTTTATTTGTAGGGTACTATACTCTTCTCAGGCTCGGACTGGCCATAAGGCCAATCTTCCATTGGTAGATACGCCCCCTTGGCGCGCCCCTCTGACAGATAGCAAATTAAGAAGAGACAAAAAATTACGATCGAGAATATATGCCGAAAATTTCTTACATGAACGGAAGAAGAGAGGGTTATAGGAGTAAAGAAAGGTGCTTTAACACATGATAGTGGTGAACAGAGGTCCAAGAACTACTTTCTGAAGCGTAAACAATTTTCTGTGAAATTTTCACCTTCCTCTTGACATACAGGCGCTTTGTCATCCCCCTCCTTTATTCGCTATGTGTAACTCCCTTAGAAGCGATGGTCGGTTCGATTTTTAGACATACGCATCCCTTATAGACCTCTTAAGAGACCTTTAAACATATTTTCTCCTTTTTAAATGACTATTGATTTGGATATATCATGGCATATCTCGGGCAAACTTAACCTAAATTTATCTCGAAATTCAAAAGTAAGAGACTTCTAAAGTCACCGAAAAAAATAATTTGCTGTTTTAGCATCTAGGATGTCAAAAATGTGTCTGGTGATCCCAAGATGCTGCCTTTACTGCCCCCGCAGTTGAATTTGCATTCAGAGGATGTAAAATTAACTGCGAGGGCAGTAAAGGCAGCATTTTGGGATCACCAGACACATTTTTGACATCCTAGATGCTAAAACAGCATATTATGTAAACGCGATACAACTATTCTCGCAAGATGGATGTCCACATTGCATATGAAAAACGTAAGAGGCGATGGCGTGAGTCGTGAAGTCGCAATGCTCTGCTCTAGTTGAAAGCAACATTACAAATAAGACAAACGGAAACAAACACAACATGGAAATAGAGCGAGGGAAAGGATGCGCGTTAACGACGGCGCAGAGATACAACTATTCGTACTTGATGGACGTCCGTGCTGCATCTGAAAAATCGAAGGCGCGCTGACGCGAAGCGTGAGTTCTCAATGCTCTGCTATACGAAGTCTGTTAGATTAGAAACCGGATTTTGGTCATAACTAGCCTATTGTGCATCCAAATTTAGTTTTCTTGATCTTTCCTGATAGCTGAAAATATACTTAAGAACGCTACGTCCACAGATTTGAAAAATCTTAATTAGCTTCGTTGGTATGTGGCTTCAAGTACGGCAACCTCATGGGTGTTTTGCGATTTTTATGTTGACCGAACTTGTCTCTCTTTTTTGGTCTTGCACTACATTTTTCAATCCACAAGGATGATTGGAGTTTCGCCTCCGTATCTTAGCCGTACACTCAAGTATTATCACCGAAAATTATCCTATCCAAAAATGTAGGATCATTGTTAGCACGTTCAAGCAGCTACAGGGAAATTAACATTTGGTTGGATTTTGTTCAACGGACAACAATCAAGGGGCAAGTGTACCTGAAACTCGATGCATGTCTACATATTCTATCAAAATTGTATGTACAGAGCCTTCAGAAATAGTACACTGTTCAGCAAGCTCGAAACGACCATTTTCGAGACTTTTGCCCGCACTTCCTCCACGTGACAAATGTTAGTTGCGTTGATGGTCGATTCCCATGCTCCTCATCTTCAACGAACTCCTGACCAGTTTTGAATCGTTTAACCCACTCAAAATAGTGAGATTAACTCATTTAATGATCTTGGTAAACTTTACTCAGCATACCAAAAGTTTCGGTACAAGGTATACCGAGCTTAAAACATAATGTGATGTTAAATCTTTGCTCTGTCAGTGATCGCATAATGAAAATCGCAAAACGCACCTGACTTCCTCGTATTCAAGATGACACAGAATAAACACTGATCAACATAAACAAAATCTGTGAACGTAGCGTTCTTTAGTATGTTATCAGCTATCAGAAAAGTCCAAGAAACCCTAATTCGGACGCACAGCAAGCTAGTTATGACCAAAATCCGGTTTCTAATCTAACAGACCTCGTATGATGCCGATGAGGTGTCGCTCAGATTTGGGTGAAAAGTTTAAAAAGAGGCCCGAACACATCTCTCCTACCTTCGGCTGTGTTGATACTCGTTCTTTCTTCTTTTTCAGGTTCTTGCCTGATTCTTTTTTTTTTTAGGATGGATTTTTAGACTTACGTCTCAAGCTCGTGTAAACCGCAGCACTGACACAGTTTTTGTGGAAATAATGGTGCTTGGATGCGTCCAGTGGCTTTCATTTTTTTTGTTCTCTTTAATTTCAGAAGTCTGTCGGTCACTTCAATACGTTCAGTTTTACAATTTTTACTCTGTACGATTAGTAAACTTCGAACCTGAAAATAGCGTAAAGCTGTGCTGCTTTGCCAAAATTTTCTGAACCTCTCTCCACGAAGGGGATGCCCTATCAGGAAACATCACATTACGCCCCTTTAACTAGCCTAGGGTCTACGCCCTCAGATGCGAGCCAGTCCGACCCTGATTCTTCTGTTCGCTTTCACTGAGGTTTTCATACATACAGTAGTATGTACAGTGTAGATTTTATACCTACATTTTTTGCACTTCTTTCTTTGCATTGAACTAGAAGGGCGCTCACACGTGCAGTTTCTGCGCAAAAAGTATTGCACTTACTATCACAATTGCAACGTTTATCTTTACTCTCTGTCCCGTGCGGACGTATCCCTACGGAAAGTTTGCTATTCCTTCGCCTTGTATGAAAGCTTTATGAATCATGGTCATTATTATTTATGGAACCTGTTTGTGTTTTCCTCTTCGGTCTTTTCACAAGAACTGTTCTCGGCTGAAAAGTGTTTGAGTGTGCATGTGTTATGGATTTTACGAGAGACAATGCATTGTGATCAGCATTCCATGTGGCACTGGGTCAGACACGTCTCCTCCTATTTTTCGCGCCGAGATTGTGTGTGAGAATTTTCCTTATTTGCGAACGAATGCATGAACTTATTTATGGGCTCTTATATTCAAGTGCCCACCTACATAGAGAGTCTAGAGCGTAATCTTTGCTCACTAATCACGTTCGCAAATGAACCTTCTAAATGGAGAATGGGAACTTTTATCGCTTCATATAAAAGTGCTTGCTAAAATGATCTCACACTTTTTTTTTCTTTTTTTTAAAAAAAAGGTCTATTTTGAAAAATTGGAATGATATGGATTCACAAATGAGAAAAGTTGCCACCTTCTGCAGACCCTTGCTTCTGAGCGTTATCAGGCATAATTCAACCACATGCTTCTCTGTATTTTTTATTATTACGTTTGATTTCTCTAATAACTGTTTGATTACGAATCAAAAATATACTTGTGCTTAGTTCACTTACATGTTGCTATCTATGAACGAAATGTATAAACTGTCAGACATTTGCTAATGCCCGCTAATTAAACGGCGTACGGTGAGCATTTCACGTTACTGAACGTTTACTGGTAAATGATAAATTCGCTTGAGCCCAAATTTGAATTTAGCCTTCATCCGACTATAAAAAATAACTTTCAAAAATCTGAATAACCTGATACAAATGTAATAAAAGTTATCGTGTCTGCGACGAATTTTCCTCCAAAGACCGTCGGACTATAATTTAGGGAGAAGATACTACTATTTGACCTAGAGAAAGTTCTTATTGTCAACTCTAATGTATTAAGGGCGCACTTAAATGGTGTTAGTGGAATCCGGTTTGGTAAAGATCTATTTTTTTAAGTTAGTTTCATCTAGCGTGCCAATTCTAAATGATACCACTATTCGATCATGTGGGAGCTCGTGTTGCCTTAACTGAACTTGAAGGCGGGCTTGCCCAGCGTTAATGTAATCTTTTCCCGTTTGGTGAGAAGCTGCCAACTTCTGGTCTTTTTGTATGTAATTTCCGAGTAACCATGCACTTACCCCATGCCACGACTATTCTAATTCATTCTCATTCCTTTTTCTTCTTTTTCTTCCTCTTTCTCTTATATTCTTCTAATTTCCCATTCCTACTTTATAATCATTCCTTTTCTTTCTTTTTTTTTCATATTCTGCCACCTCATTTTTTCTCTTTCCTTTATGTATTCTTCTACCTCCCTCACTCTTCTTTCTTCTTCTTTTGTTTTTCTCCTTCTTCGCTTTCATTTGCTCCTCTTCCTCTTTTGTTCTTCTACGTTCAAAGCGTATGTTCATCGTTCGATCACCCAAGTGCAGGAATGACGTTCTTTGTTATAATTTAGATGGGAGACCGCTTGGGAACGTTTTTACTTTTTTTGTTACGAATTCTAAATCGAAATGACCAAGAGTCAGAGTGATAAATTGTGTGATCTTCCTTTTCTTTTTACGTCCTAATTGAAAATGAATACTTGGAATCGCAAAATATTTTGACGGTGAAAATGTCAAAAAACGTATCTCGTTTGAGTTCTTTTAAAATCTGCACTCGTGTATTTCTTTTTTTGAGGAGAACAATTTAACATCATTTCTTGCAATTCTCGCAGACTGATCTTTGCTCGGAGACATTAAATCAGGGGACCCACGTAAAACACCTTCGTCTATGTCCAGCTTAAGGCCACTAGAAAAACATGGAAGTAAAACCAAAAGATAAAAACAAAGATATTTGGAGAGTGAAATTACATTTATTTTTATTCTTATTCAAATTTCTTTATGATGTGAAGCTTTTTTTGGCTAAATATGTTTAGTAATAAATCACCGGTGATGAGTAAGAACAGGGAGACCCGTAAGTCACGGGTGTTGAGTAGGAGTATGAGCAACTGGACTCAACTGGAGTCGAGCAACAAGACTCAACTGGGGTGGAGCAACAGGGTGTTTCGTAGGGTTTTTCACAGGGTACAGGAACTGGCACGGCCACGGGAACTTTAACAGGTTTCTCGATGATTTTCGGTGGTGACTTCACTAGAACAGGGACTGGAACAGGCTTCTCGACGACGCAAGGAGCAGGCTGAGCACATATGATCGGCTCCTTGCATCCGAATTTCTCCTTGTGCAGAAAATGACCGGCGGCCATGTTAGCACAAGCCAAAGCGGCGACAACAGCAACGATGAATTTCATTATGACTTATTTCTTTACTTTCTTGACTGAATAGTGAAAGAAGGTGAGTGGTTATTGGTGCTTCTCATCGAGTGAACCGAGCATTTATAAGAGAGATGACAATGCGTTACCAATCACCTGGAACTATGACTCTTAATGTGATGATATTTTTTTGAAAGATTACCTTATTTCTGAACGTTAAGAGCTGACAGTTGTGTGTAATCTTAAAATTGTAAACTAAAATTATGTGGAGCTAAAAAATCCTCAACCACGAACAATACATCGCTGCGTATCTGCAGTAACTAGTCATTCCCCAGGTATCAGTGGCCCGGCTGCGCACCAATTGTTTCAGAATCCGATCAACTTTTGCTTTGGAAGTATCCTCAGTTCAAACGGTTCGAGGAAAACGTCAAAGAGAAAGTGACAAATTTGCAGGTGAGTGATAGTCTTTCGTTCTATCCGCTCTATAAATGAATGAAGGCGTTTGTAGAAGATCATTAGTTCACTCTCGTTTGAAGCAAACAATCGATCATTCCAAAATTACAAGATGAAATTCATCGTAGCTTTCGTTGCCGCTTTGGCTTGCGCTAACATGGCCGCCGGTCATTTTCTGCACAAGGAGAAATTCGGATGCAAAGAGCCGATCATATGTGCTCAACCTGCCCCTTGCGTCGTCGAGAAGCCTGTTCCAGTCCCTGTCCTCGTGAAATCACCACCGAAAATCATCGAGAAACCTGTTAAAGTTCCCGTGGCCGTGCCAGTACCTGTACCCTGTGAAAAACCCTGTGAAACGCCCTGTTACTCTACTCCAGTTGAGTCTTGTTGCTCAACTCCAGTTGAGCCCAGTTGCTCCTACTCCTATTCAACACCCGTGTACAGCTCTCCCTGCTCGTACTCATCACCGGTGATTTACTATTAAATATTTCAAACTGAAAAAACCATTACATTATCAAACAAATTTGAATCCGATTAAAAATAAATTGCTTTTTTCACACTGCAAATATCTTTGTGCTTATACTTTTACCCTTATGTATTTCTAATGGTCCTCAGCCGGACGTAGAGGAAGGTGACTCTATTTCAAGTCCCTGATTTTATTCCTCCAAGCAAAGACAAGTCCGCAAAAACCTGAATGGAAATGATGGAATGATGCTGATTTGTTCTCCACATAAAGTCCGCAGTCCCCAGGAACGGATACTCTAGTCCACAGAAACTGAAAATTGTGTTTTTGACACCTGGCCTTAGTGAGTATTCCCACGTTGGAACAAAGCGCTCCTGGAGGTCCAACATAACCGGAATAATAGCAGTTTAAAATTGGTCGTAGAAAAAATGTACACTCCAGAATAATCTTGCTACAATATGTATCCATCATACTTAGGGCTAGAGCCCGTTTCTCTCGGAAAAAATAAAGTAGGAGCGGAAATTTTGAAACAGCGTAATAAAGATATGAAGTTTCGCACTTTGGTCATCGCTATGAGATACGGAAATTCAGGCTTAAAACGTTACATCAAGGCACTGCCACCCGCACGTCTGTCGATTGACTCAGTTGCAGGAAGTCAAATCGCCTACAATTTTTTGAATGCAATACGGACATCCGTCGAGGTTGAATAGTTGCATCGAGGCGCTGTCATCAACGCGTCCTCCTGTTAGTCGATCGCTAAAGACGAGTACATACATTCAGTGCAAAGCGAGTGGTAAGGCACTCAGTCTTTTGCAAATGCAACACGGACATGCACAGAGCGATATTAGTTTCATTCATTTCCTTATTCGAAACAAGAGAGATTTTTTCAACGAAAATAAATCGTAAAATCGAAAAACTTTTTCGCCTTGAAAGCCGCACAAGAAAATGATCAAATTTTTAAAAATGCGCTAATGATGCTCCACAGGCGGGAGTGAAACGCGTCCACAATTAATTTAAATTAATTTGACGTGCAAGTGAGTCTTTTAAATTTTGAGATTTTTTTAAGTCAGACAAAAAGCGAACCCTCTTCCGGACATCATATGTTTCGAAGGGGAAGGAGATGGTATACTTCCCCTCCATTTTTGCCAAAAATAGAACGAGGAAAGAGAGGGGGAAAAAGCTGAGAGAAAGAAAAAAGACAGAGAGTAAAAGTTAAAACCAGTTACAAAATTGTTAGTTTGCTTTTGTCGCCGTTCGTTGAAGTCTCCAGAAATATCTATTTTGATGGCAACGAGTCCGATTCACAGGTACTGAACTTCAAAGAGGGACGATGGGAGAAGAAGAAAAGGCTACACTCTCTCAGGGTCTCCTTCCTCTTTTCATCGTCTTCTCGTGGTGTCGTCTCTGCAATGAATTCATCTACGGAAATTGTCTGACTATTACGATAGAAATGATACCACTATTCGAACACGAGGGAGCTCGTATTGCCCATTCTAAAATTGAAGGCGAACTGACATAGCGTCGCAGTGTGATCTATCCTAGTTTGGTAGAAAGCTAATTTTTGTATGTTTTCCGAGTAAGTGCGCATTTTCAGAATGTTACTGTGTCTTTCTCTTTTCTTCATTCTCTTGTATTCTTCCTGTTTACTGATCTTCTTCTTCTTCCTCCTCATTTCTGTTTTTTTTGTTATTCTTTTTTCTCCTCTAACGTTCATTTAAGTAGAGAAGACTTATCAAGGATTATCCTTTGTTAATATCCACAGAAATCAGGAAAGTTAGGTGGGTGGATCTTGAGAACGGACTGTGGCAAAAAATGAACATTCACAATGTTTCAGGAGAGTTTTCACAACTTATTACGTAATATAAAAAAAATCTGGGTCATATTTCCTTAATTAGAATAAATCATGACAGGGCCAGATTTACCTACTTTCCGCACATGGGCCACCTGTATTTTGCTCCTTTCTCGTTTGTTTTGAAACATCAATTAAAACCATCAAGAAAACGGCCGGAGGGAGAGGAGTGCATTAGACGCGTTTACTCGTGTTGGACACATTTTTTGCGAAAGCCCTGTCAACACTACTGGCAAAAGTTCACGGAACTTTGCGCGAAAGGTAAATTCCGTAAACCTATCTATGGAAGGATAAGGCCTTCCATTTACTAGTAATGAACGAAAAAATTATGGAAAGACTAAACATAAATGTGGTTTAATACTTTCAACTTCCGCCGCCGCGCCGCACTGACCGCACTGTGTTTGGCGCAATGCGTGAAGTATTCCTACAGTGTTGTAGGTGCTATGCGCTTCACGCCGACCGCTGCGCTGGGCGCACTGTTTTTGACGCAATGCGTGAAGTATTCATGCGGTCTTGTTGGCGCTAATAGGTGTTACATACATACCGCTGCTCCGAGGGTTTCTCCTTTCCATCTCAAGTCCTCGTCATCAATGCTCTCTAACGCCGCTACAGGCCGAATTGCGGGTTTGGTTTCTCTCTTAACTCGACTAATTAAAGAAACTGTCTTTTGAATCACCGAAAGACGACAAAATTAGAAATTACTATACTCTCAGGAAATGATAGATTTTGTCGCCCTCTCTCGTTTGTAATTTTTTTTCTGAATCCGATTCTAATTCTACCTAAATTTTAAAAAATTGCAAAATTTGCTGCCATGGGCCGCGGTCCATGTGGCCACCCCCTAAATCCGGCCCTGAATAGGGCTCACCTAGAGACTACTGCCGATAGCCGCAAACATCATGGAACCCCGAAGAACGATAGAACAACCTGTGACGAAAATTGAAAATTTAGAGGGACAAAGAGCTTTTTGTCATGCTAGTAAAGTATACACTTACTTTTAAGAAGTACATAACATCCAAGGTCATTCTTACACCTGTGACGAAAATTAACATATACGTACATTACATATTACGTACAGGGAATCAGATACATTTGAAACCGATGCAAAGGAAAGTTGCGACCAATGGAGATTTTAAATACGTTTTGGAAAAAAGGGAGGATTAAGGAAAAGAATAGGAGGAATATACTCGTACTAAAACAGTACACAATTATGAGAGAAAAATTTCATATTCCTTTTGATTTTTGGATTTTAAGCTGGAAATCTTTAAAAGATGTTGAAGAACGGGAACAAAACGGAAAATAAAAACACAGAAGCAGACGAGGTGAAAAAAAATGCACCGGTGTGAAGGATGGGCGAGCGTAACATGTGAACTTCCACGCTGTGCATGCATGTTCATTCATGCTCAAGGACAAATGGAAAATGTGGTAAGTTAAATTCCGAAAACCGAGATGGAATTGTGGAGAACCACCATCTCCATAATTTTAAGTCATTCTACCACGTTTGACAACACCCTCGCATTATTTTTTTGACACTAAAGTCAAAATTCGTATTCAACGTAAAAAATGACAGGTAATTTCGAAGATGAAAAGTAATTTAAAAAGTGACAATTTCGTGACATTTCAAAAATGAATACACGCAACATCGGCAAACTGATATTCCCGCCCATTTGAAGTAAAGAGACATTTAGAAACGATAATATTTGAAAATTGATTTTGAAAGTGTTTTAAATGCGTCAAACTGTAGCAAATTGTTTTTCCACGGAAGACACGTGCTACAGCTCAGGCATTTATCGTAATAGCCCCTGTAGGTACGCAAAAATTCTATCGTGACTGTAGGTTACCCCATCAATTGCACTCGGATGGTCTCTGGTCGGTTATTTTATTGGCATACATGCGATCAGTTATTTACGCTATTTCCGCTGTAATTTCAGAAAGATTAAATTTTGAGACCTAAGAGCTTTAAAAGTTGTAGAAATGCGGTAGAGACTAGTGAGTTATCGGAGGGCGCTCTTTAAAATTTATTTTTCATGTAATCTATGATATATATATTTTTTTTAGAAAATAACTATTGAGACATTTTGACAGCTTCATCTGATCAGCTGCCGTAAGTTATGTAAGTTGAATTATGGCGTCGAAAAAAGCAATAAAATATTTGTATATTAGTACAGAATTCCATTTGTATCGGTTTCAATATTTTTCAAATGTTCCATAAGTTTTAATAATAGCATATTGGAGAAAATGGCGATAAAACTGGTGTATGAGAACAGAAAGAGCCGTAGTTCACCGGTGTATAGTACGAGCAACCGGACACAACTGGAGTCAAGCCGCCGTACTCAACTGGGGTCAAGCAACAGATTGTTTCATTGGGTTTCTCACAAGATACAGGCACTTATAGGTGAAAAATAGCAATCGGATCACCAATCTTAGCCGGATATATTTGATGCTCAAATGAAAAGAAATATGGAGAAAAATTTGAGAGAAAACAGGCCCCCATCAAGAAGTCTCTCACGACATGCTTGGGACCACTAGAAATACATAAAGGTAAAAACAGAAAAAAACACTAAGATATTTGCTGTGTAAAGAAAAACATTTATTTTTAATCAGATTCAATTTTTTTTATAAATGATGTAATGGTTTTTTTCAGTTGGAAATATTTAATAGTAAATTACCGGTGATGAGTACGAGCAGGGAGAGCTGTAAGTCACGGGTGTTGAGTAGGAGTAGGAGCAACTGGGCTCAACTGGATTTGAGCAACAAGACTCAACTGGGGTGGAGCAACAGGGTGTTTCGCAGGGTTTTTCACAGGGTACAGGAACTGGCACGGCCACGGGAACTTTGACAGGTTTCTCGATGATTTTCGGTGGTGATTTCACGAGGACAGGGACTGGAACAGGCTTCTCGACGACGCAAGGGGCAGGCTGAGCACATATGATCGGTTCTTTGCATCCGAATTTTTCCTTGTGCAGAAAATGTCCGGCGGCCATGTTAGCGCAAGCCAAAGCGGCGACGAAAGCTACAATGAAATTCATTATGCGTTAATTCTCTACTCTGCTTCCTTTGAGCTAATAGTGAACAGAAGTTGGCAGCAATTAATGATTTTTGCAAAAGCACTGGACTATTTATGAGAGAAAATTCCTTCAGTGGTTTCCCACACCTGCCAAAAATACGTTTAGTTTTCAATAAAAAGTTTCATTGACTCTAGTCTTGCACCCAAGTATTGTTAATGGACAGGTGGCTGTCAAAATCTATGAGTATAACAATCAACACATAAAAATCTAATGCACCTTGTTTTAATTCAATTGAATACATCGAGGAAAAGCTGACAGAAAAATGTGGAGCTTCGCAGGTGTGGAGCGCGGTCCGATCTGTGAATGATATAAATGGCAATTGCAGAACGGCAACAATCATCAATTCTCACTCGCTCAGATTCAAAGCAGTAGCCTAACCGACCGAAAAAACATGATGAAATTCGCTGTAGCTTTCGTCGCCGCTTTGGCTTGTGCTAACATGGCCGCAGGTCATTTTCTGCACAAGGAAAAATTCGGATGCAAAGAGCCGATCATATGTGCTCAGCCTGCCCCTTGCGTCGTCGAGAAGCCTGTTCCAGTCCCTGTCCTGGTAAAATCACCACCGAAAATCATCGAGAAACCTGTCAAAGTTCCCGTGGCCGTACCAGTCCCTGTACCCTGTGAAAAACCCTGCGAAGAACCCTGTTGCTCCACCCCAGTGGAGTCTTGTTGCTCAACTCCAGTTGAGCCCAGTTGCTCCTACTCCTACTCAACACCCGTGTACAGCTCATCCTGCTCGTACTCATCACCGGTGATTTATTATTAAATATTTCTAACTGAAAAAACCATTACATCATTTAAAAAAAATTGAATCTGAATAAAAATAAATGTCTTTCTTCACACTGCAAATATCTTTGTTTTTGTTGGTCGGTTGTGTCCACTCCTCTCCGTCTCCATCTCCGGTGATTTACAGCTCTCCCTGGTTGTACTCATCAATAGTCAACCTACAGCTCTTCGTGTTCTTCTACACCGGTCAAGTCTTCGTGTTAATCAACCTATTATTGCCAAAAATGATAGTGATTTTCACAAACATTGAAACTAATAAAAATAAATGTTTTTACCAAAAGGAAAATATGTTAGTGATCCTTTGACGCCTATCAACGTTCACTGCATACAAAAGGTGAATAGATAAAGATGTCAGATGCTCATCATCACCTGAGGTTAAATCCTCATTAATGGCACGATGAGAAGTCGCCCGAGCTTATGTAGAGAGGTTCTTAATGGACTGCTGACATTTCTTCAGCAGCTTTTACGGTGCTCGCACCATCTAGTTGCTCATCCAATCCTATGATTTACTGAGAATTTTGCAATGCTTCACACACAAACGATATGACATTGCGGTATGTAATACCGTATAGTAGGGCGCAGTTATGTAACTGCTGAGGAAAATTGGTGACATTGATGAAAGTTCAAAAATAAACTGCTGCTTCCATGGGAAAAGATACATTTCGAACAATTTTAACGTTTCCTTGTGCTCTTCCTCGCCGTGCTAATCAATCTGTTCCATTTGAAATCTTTTCATATGTTGATTAATTAAAAAGAAAAACACATAATTTAGAGAATAACTAGACTTTAAAAGTGTACTTTTTATAATCACCTATCACACAGTGCCCCTACATCTACTCAGACTCAAACTCTTTGATACCTATATTAATCATCATGATGCCGTTGAATTTTCATACGCTATATTGCGCCTTCACTTTCGTCTGATACCATGCAATATCTCAGTGGCGGAATAGTTGCTCGAAGCGCCTTCGAAGGTATCGCTTCGACTTGATGGAGGAGGATGACGAACGATCACCCTCTAGCATGTGACATTCATAGTGACACATTTTCTTATCACCTAGCACGAACGGTGAGGTTAAAAACATCCATACCTCCATTTCCGACGTTACGAGGGTTAAACCAATAAGGACACTGTAAATCTGCCGATATTTTTCCGAAATATGATGTAAAATATTGTAAGTAAAATACTTGTTTTACAAACATGAACATTACAACGACTTTTTATATTTGTTGTTGTCCTAATATTCTTTTCATTACGTGTGTTTTCAAGCTTAGGATCACTAATCTTCGTATAAATCCAGGTTCATTTATATACCTCAAAACAATTTGAAAAATTAAAACTTTTAATTCCTCAGGAAAAATACTTTTTTTAAGTAGAATTTACATATCGGTGGCGAAAGTGTGACGCTAAGTATCTTCATCCTGTGTTCCAAAATCCCCGCTCCTAGTTTAATTTTTGGAAAAGGAAAAGAATCAACTTTATAGTTTGAAATTTACACAGAATAATCTTCTGACAGGAAGATAAAACAAGGAAGTTTTCAGGAAATTACGTTGATTAGCTTTTTAAGGAAAAATAAAGTGTGATTCAAAGTCTGCAACGTCTGAAACGGAGATACGTGATCCCGCACTTTAGCCATCGATGTGAGTTGAATATGTTGCAAATTTAAGGTAAAATTGATGAAAATGTATTCAGAAAAAAACGAATTGTACATTTTCAGCAAAATCAGAGTAATTGACTTAAAGTATACGCGGAAATTATTCCTGCATATTTATGATGAAATTGTGGGCGCTCTTTTGGAGTTTACTTGATTGATTAGCCGACGCTTGTGTTTGTTTGTTTTTTTTTTCTTTCTCTAATGAATGTGAATGTATATAGTAACTGTGAAATGAATGAGAGTATATTTGTTTAAATCGGTCTCTCATCACTACCAAATGATTATATATATTACGCAATAAATAATGTATGCAGGTTGTTTGATGAACGAATATGAGTCATTCGATCGTAGCAAATGTTGTTTCATAAAACGTCACGATATGCAACAGGCCGATGGTACCCTGTAAGTACTATCGAGCTATTCCGTAATGCATGTTGTTGCAGCATTTTGAAGGCGTTTTTGCTTCCAACTAAAACTGCTGAAGAACGTATTTTCCCAATGTTCTCTTTGAAGCTCTTTTTCCTCTATAACGGGGCTTATACCATGGCTTGCGTACGTAGATTAGACTTCTCAAATTATGCATTTGAGGACTTGATGGGTAAAATGTACCAAGTGCTCGTCTCAGACTAAAAATATGAATCTCAGCGTGATCACTCCTTTCAAAGATCCAATGAACAAATTAAGGAACTGCCAAAAACCACGGGTTTCTTTTCATTTTTGGAATTGCAATTTCCTTAATATCTTGAAGTGCACTCGCCTAATTTCTAAGTGAGCACAGTAGTTAAGAGTTGGTTTTTCATCCTCAAAAAATTATTTTCAAAACACACCGAATTGAAGAGATAAACCTATTGTAAGTGGTATTGAATCATACATTTTGAATGCCTGTAATTGCCTTGCATAATGTTGTAGTAGATGAATTTTTGAGGTTAGTTTCTCTTTTTTTTAAAAAAAATTCAAGAAGCCTGAGGATACTCTCCTATCTCTTCTTAACCCTTGCCCAACTGTCCTCATTCAATGTAGATCTCAACATTTTCCGTACACCGTACTTAGGAAAAGTGATTCTATATACATTTTGCGATTCATAATATGTTTTGACAAATCCACCCCTCCCTCTCTCCCTTTTTTAATCTTATTTCTCGTACTTTTCGAAAAGAACTTCCTAATAGTTATTCAGAGGCTATCTCACATTGAGACAATCCTTCCCTCTGGAAAGAAGCGTTGCCCCAGAAACACAATGAACAACTTTTGACCTGTATCTTTAGATATTCTTGACTGTTTACAACTGGTGGAAGGGAAACACGAGAGTGATAAAGCAGAAGCAAAATTTCAATTAAAATACTTAAATATTTATTAAAACTCAGTGCACGCAATCTTCAAATGAGGCGAATTATTTCTTTTCTTTCACAAAATTTGGTAAATAATTTTTTTTTTTTTTCATTTTTTCATTCAGTTACAAACCAGAGATCACTGACAGGTGACTGAAGGATTGAGACAATCCTTCCCCCTGGAAAGAAGCGGTGCCCAACAAACACAATGAACTTTTGAGCTGTATCTGCAGATATTCTTGACTGTTTACAACTGGTGGAAGGGAAACACGAGAGTGATAAAGCAGAAGCAAAATTTCAATTGAAACACTAAAATATTTATTAGAACTCAGTGCACGCAATCTTCAAATGAGGCGAATTATTTTTTTTTCCTTTCACAAAATTTGGTAAATAATTTTTTTTTTCCTTCATTTTTTTATCCAATTACAAACCAGAGATCACTCCTGCAAAGCAACCTGGGGTCTTAACTTTGTAAGAGGAGGCGCAAGGCTCAACATATTTCGGTGCGGCACAAGGCTCAACATATTTCGGCGTGGCACAGGGCTCAGCACATTTCGGCGCAGAGCAGGAAACAGGGACCGGAACAGGGACAGGCACTTTGATTGGCTTTTCAACGATGATGGGTTTCGATTTGACCTTTATTGGCACAGGAACAGCAACCGGTTTCTCCACGATACAGGGCGCCTCTGCCACCACCGATGAAATCTCACACTTGGGCGCCTTGTACTTATGCCCCAACTTCGCCTTGTGGAAATGACCGAACGTAAGGTTCACGCAAGCCAAGACGGCGACCAAAGCAATAGCGAATTTCATGGTGATGCTGGGAGTCTCTCGTTCTCACTACTTTTGGTTCCAGTTGAAAACTGATGATCTGGAAAGCCGCCGAGAGAGCTTTTATACTGGTGGATGTGCTTTCATGCAGAGTATTATCAATTTTTGGGCAAGTTTCTTCTCAAAAGTTTGGTTGTATTCTTACTTTCGGCAAATGAAATGTGCTTTCACAGCGTGTGTGTCATCAAGCGATTAAAATTGGAAGAGAGAGAACGTAAGACTTGGTTCTCGTATCGGCTATCGCACGCCGACCGACGACGGACCGTCTCTCTACTTGCCAGCCTCGTATCAAACAGCACGTGCATTTTTGCGCCATGTCACTTCCTTCCTTCCTTGTCCTTTCTTTTTCCTTTCTTCCCTTTCT